CCCGAGACCGTGAGTAAAGTAGTTTGAGCGCCGACATCGATCGCCCAAATCAACTCATTCGGGTTTGGCGTCGCAATGAGCTTGCGGGTGTACGCGCCGTACGTCAAGAGGAGGTCGTTGCCCTCGACGAAGATAGTGCCCCGTCCGTAAAACGAATCCGCGGCGTGATACGTCCCGTTCAACGCCGTCTTGGTTCGGTTCGGGATGTCCAGCCCAGGGGTCTCCCATGGCTTCCCATCAAAGAAGTGGGGGTCGCATGGCTGGGATGGAAGCTTGTCCAACGCACTCACGATCGTGTGGAAGCCCTTGTTCAGCGTCGAGACAGGAACGTCCAAGAAGAGGCCCGTGATGTACGTTCGAATCAAGTCCAAGTAAACACGGGAGCTGACCTTGCCGCCGGTGCTCTGGCCATTCGACAAGAGCACGACGCCCAAGTCTTGGTCCGGAACAAATCCGTTCCGGGTCTTGTGCGCAATCGTATCGCCACCTTTATCAAAGTAATGGTTGCCAAACGCTACGTCCCCAACCACGTCAAAGCCCAGACCTGCAGACACGGCGTTCCCGTCCGGCGAAAATGTCAGGCCCACGTATGGGAGCTTGGACCCGAACACTGTGCCGATGGTGTGCCCCGTGAAGAGGGTCGCCACCGACGCGTCGGACGCAAAGATACCCTTGCCTTTGTTGAGAAGGAAGCGCGAAAACGTAGACAGGTCGGCAGCCGACGACAGCACCGAGCCGGCGGAGAGGTAGTTGTTTTGAGGAGCCAGCGCGACGACGGACGAATTTTGCAAGTGGAATGGTCCGGCGACCTTGGAGTCGCACATCAAGTGACCGAACGAGACGAGGTCGGGTTGTGGACTGTCGGCCGGCCGCCCCACCGTGTCCTTCATCCCCAATGGGTCCCAGAACGTCACGCGGAGGTACTCGGGCCACGTCCGGTTGGTCACGACCTCAATGACTTGGCCAAGAACTTCAAAGTTCATGTTCGAGTACGCGATGCCTGCGCGCAGAGGGCGCGTCGTTTTGAATGACCCGAGTGCGTCGACGAGGCTCTTTTCATCGTACACTCCCAACACCCACGTGTCATCGCCTTCGTGGTCCCCAAAGACAGAGTTCATGCCAGCGAGATCTTCCAACGTCGTGTGCTCCTCGGCGTACTTGTCCACGAGGCGAAACGACGAAAGGTGCTTCTTCACAGGGTCTTGCCACGCTAGTTTGGATTCTTCCGCCTGCAAACGGTCCAAGATGATTCACAGCATGACTTCAAGGGGATCGCGTACAAGTTTGGCGATCGCGAGAGCAATGAACGTTTTCGTGTACGATCCGATTTGAAAGACCGACTTGTCCGTGACAGGGGCGTCGGTGTGGCCGAACTACAACACGCTTCTTGTGACCAAAGGAAGGATCGAAGCGAGATTACCTTGGTCGTGCCAAAGCCTTGAGAGATCACCGTCCTATTCTTGTACACGACCGAGAGGGCGATCCCTGGTACAGCGTACGCCTTGAGTTGCTTGCGCACAAATGCGACGGCAATCTCTTTCTTTTCGTCGACGCTCGGGATGGCCTGGCCGGCCACGAGAGATGCAGGGGCCGGCTCGGCATGCCAAACATCCTCCATGAGTGGCGGCAACTCAGCCATGTCCAGGATGGACTGGAGGGGCGTCGCCGCGACGGCGATAGAGATGCCGACAAGGGCGAGGAGTGCAAGATGCGAGCACGTGACCATGGTGAATGAAATCGGACAATGATGGAATCGATTGCTCGCACATCACGACGTGCGAAATTGTCGGGATGTTGGTTCGAGTGTTGGTCAGTGTGTCATCCTTGCGCAATTTCTGCACAAAC